TACCCTGTGACAACAGAAATGTGCATAAACTACTAGGAGGGTTTGTCAGAACACCGCTATGCCCGATGGCCAAGCTATGGCAGGAATGTTGAGACGCATCAGTTCCTCTATGCTGCGATTCTCAGTCATGTTCTCGAAGAGAAGCACCGTCAGACTCTTGTCCAGTTTTTGGCTGGAAAGTTTTGGGCTGGAAAGTTTTGGGCTGAACCATTTGTTGTTTGAGGAAGGGGCGGGGGGGTAACACTATGTAATATATTCGGTTTTAGAATTTATATTCAGTGTTAACTGTAGCTAGGTTCAAAGTCTTAATACCATCTAATATAAATAAACAATACTCTCATATGTACAACCAAGGTGGCACAAGGGGTAGCAAGCGATCATTTTAGGGTGCCACCCCATCCAAGAATATGGGATAAACGTCACTGAAACCTACAGGACTCCAACAATCCCCCAGCTGGTGTGAGTTTTACATCTCATCCAAGAAGCTTCTTCAGTTCTTTCTTGAAGACGTTTTACATCTCATCCGAGAAGCTTCTTCAGTGGAAGAAGTGCCATATTTCCTGAGTAAGTTTGTAAAAAGGATTCTATCATTTAATGTTGGGATATAAAAGTAATACACATATTTAAACGACTAATGTGTCCGGGGAAATGCACGGTTAATGACCGATGCCCAGGTGTTCAGTGCTTTATTTTGGTTTTGCATCAAAAAGGAAATTATATTTTTTAATAACGAGCAGACGCAGTTTTTGTTGCATCACTCGAGTGATGCAACAAAAACTAGTAAGTATAGGGTATAAAGCGTACAATATAGTCTATAGCACACAGGCAACTGACCAGTTGAAGCAAATGTGTGCGCAACAGCGTGACAAAATGTTACCAGTCCTTTTATTAACTACACAAGTAGTTAATAAAAGGACCCTTACTGGTTAAAGGTGTCATGGGTCTTTTTACCCCATTGTAACACATCAACCTGTTAACTCACTCCTCCAGCCTCATTTTCCTTTCTCCCCA